TTTAACGCCTCTCGTCGTCGGTAGCGACGACGATGAGCGTTAGGAGAGCGGAGGACGACGTTTACGAGATTCAAATTAGGTAGAAATCTCGATTAACGACGCAGAATCGCCATTCGTTGATCGTTCGCCGGTGTAATTATCGTGGAAATACTGGAAACCAGTTTCGCTATTCGAATGAGAGAGAGAGAGAGAGAGAGTTTCTCGTATCATGATCGCGTCGGGTATATTTAACTTTGAAGTGAAATTTTTTAATACTCATCTCTTTTTTATAAATATATATATTTATAAAATTTACACGTGTAATGTATATATCTTTGTGAAAAAAATAAATATTACATTATGTATTGTATAGCCTGGAAAAATATAAGAGAGAGGAAGAAAATGATGTTTCTCGTATCGTGATTGCGTCACGTATATTTGACTTTGAAGTAGTTCAAGTTCTTTAATAATCATCCTTTTTTTATAAATATATATTTATTGAGAAATTTTTATGTCATATATCTTCAAGAAACATATATATATATATATATATATATATATATATATATATATTACATATCCCGGAAATACATGGATGCGGCAGCATTCAAAGGTAGATAAATAGTCTAATGATCCTCAAAGAGAGTGTATGCTTCAATATTCCACTTTAACGAGCGTTCGTTTAGCTCATTTTTAAAAGTACGAATCTTAAAAAGAAAAGAAAAAAAACCCGTAGAGGATAATGCCGGGAAAACGAACGCAAAACCAAATAATCTCGAGCGCTTCGACAAGCTCGCTCGCGCATCTTCGACGAAGCGGCGGACCTCATTTTTCGATATTCGCCTTTAACGAACGTTTCCCTTCGTATAGTACGTCCTCTCGAGTTGGTACGGCGCGCACGTAATGATGCCGCGCGATAAAACCGCGCGTCTCGACAGACGACGACGACGACGACGATGACGAGATCTCCGACTATCGTCGTCGTCGGCGTCGTCGTCGTCGTCTTTCGATCGCGAGAGTTCGACTTTATTCCGCAGTTTTCCACACACCGCGTACACACACACACATACACACACACACAACACATACAGGAAGGGAGCGAAGGGATGGCGGCATGTTCGATGCTCTCACCGTTGGCTCTCGTGTGCACGGTTCGTAGGGCATGTAACCGCGTAGGTGTAAGCACATATACACATGCACCGCACGTACATGATATATACGTGTACATATATACGTGTGCACGTGTGCAAGGCGTTTTCCACCTCGCGCACTTACACGCGCCTCTCTCTCTCTCTCTCTCTCTCTATGGGGAAACGAGAGTAGTGGTGTAGTAGTAGTAGTAGTACGTACATAGGTTACAGGCAGAGGCTAGGTACTATCTAGTATCTAGTAATACGGGGTACTAGGTACGTGCGCGCCGCGGACGCCAAATAGTGGTTCGCATATTCAGAGATAGCGACGTCGCTCAGCGCGATCGCCCCTGATTTAGGCCCTCGTTCCGTCTCCCTCTCGCGCATATCGGCCGTCATTCTCTCCTCCCCCCTCTCCCCCTCCTTCTCTCGCGCTCTCTCACGAACTCTCCTCCCCTCGCGTCACCCGACCGCGTTTCTCCCTCGGCTCTCGCCGTTCCATCTTCTCTCGCGCGCTCGCACACAGGCGCAATACAAGCGCGCGCGCGCGCGCGAAAACACACACATACAACGCATCCCGCGCGACACACAGACGCTAGGGTCCACGGATAACGTCCTCGATACGCCGCGCGGCAACGGCGGCACGACATCGAGGCGCTCCGAAAAGCGCTATCTCGCAGCACCTCGCTCGGAGCCTCGACTAATCAGCGCTTCGATCCGTGCTTTCGAGCGTCCTACTTTGATCATCGCCCGCTTCGCTCGTTCTCTCTGTGAACGCGACGCTCGTGTAACGACGTTGTACCGTGTATAAATCGGAGATCCGCGCGAGGAAATTCTCTCTCTCTCTCTCTCTTTCTCGCCCTCTCTCTCTCTCTCTCTCGCGAACGAATCGCGAGCGTGCGCGCGACCCTCGGCGACGAGATACGTCGATGAAGAGCCGCGATATATTTAGACGACGGCGGATCGCGCGTCCATCTTTCGCTTCGACGAGCGCGCGTCGGGGCTTCTCGTTCGAATCCATCCGCTTTAAAGAACGTACGATTTCGCCGCGCTTAACAATCTCGCGCCTTCGTTACCGCGCGCCATTTTCCGTCTCGCGCGCGCGATTTCGCGTCCCTCTGCCCCTCCTACCCCCTCACCTCGCCCCTCCGCCGTCCCCGGTCCTCTCCAGAGATCCGGCTCGAACGTTAAAAATCTCGCCGAGCGAAATGGGTCAACGCGGGTCGACGAGGAGACTCGCATTCCTGAGAAAGCGACGTAATTAATTTACAAATCCGCGAAACACACATACACACACACACACACACAGGTGCACACGCACATGCATACCACGCGCGCCGGGGGACACGGCATTATGGATAACCCGTGAAACGGATGGATTTACGAGCGCGATGCGAAATTTCGAATTGATTTCGGGTCTAGACCCGGGTGAACCGCGTGGTGAGCGAGGAGCGGGAGAAAAATAAAAAGGAAGGAGGGCGAAAAAAAATCTCTCAAAATATCCCCCGAAATATAATTTCCGCCCGGGCGGCCGTTAAAATCCACCTCGGCTCTATTTATCACCGCGAGGAGCCGCGCTCTCGCGTTTATTTCGCCCAACGCGTACATACGTATCCGTCCTAAAGCGAGAGCGTCCGCGGAATTATAAATTACCGCTTTTACGTTACTGACGCGGAGCGCGAGCCGAGTTAAGTTCGTGGTTGAGAAACACTGGGCCAGCTGCCGCGGCGCGGTGGTATCTCCGCGTTGTCTGCTACCTCACACCCTCGTCTTGCGTCCCACGTGGATGCCGGTCGAAGGGGTCGCGCGGAATGAGGGTGACGCGCGGGGCCGTGGCGGCGCGGCGCGGCGCGGCCGGGGCGACGAGAGGGGGAGCCGGGGGGAGGGGGAAGGACGGAATGACGGCGCGGCGCGGCGCGGCGAGGCGTGGCGAGGCGCGGCGCGGGGAGAGACGGCCGAGGGCAACGTCGGCGATGAGGGAAGCGCGAAGGGGGACGAAGGGGGAGGAGGAGGTAGGTAGGTTGCTTCGGTATGGGTCGAGTCGGGTGGTCAGAGGGGGCGGAAGTGGGCGAAAGGGTCGAGGGATACCGCCGTTACCGTCGCCGCCACCCACTGACCATCTCTATACCCTACCTACCTACCTACCTACCTATCTACCCTACCCTACCTACCCTCGCGTCGCCCGTTGTCGTCCAGGCTTCTCCGTTACGTGCCTACAAAAAAAAAATGTCCTCCTGTGTAACGTCGCAAGACGCTGCGAGATCCGCGGGAAGCGAAAGACGACGTGAAAAGCGTCCGCGTTCAACGTCTCCATTTGGCGGAGATTCCCCCGTGATATTTTGTTCCTCGGCAATTTGTCGGAGAGATAAAAAGTTGAAGAGTTAAAGAGAGAGAGAGAGAGAGAGAGAGAGGTAGGAAGGAGGAATATTATGGGAGGTGGGAAGAGAGGGTGGAGAGCGGGCGGAAAATGAGAGGAAAGTGTTTAAACGCGATCACTGGGACACGCGTTGTTACGCGTTAGCGATATATATTTTTCCTCCTCGTCTGTTTCTCTCGTTTTTCCCCCACTTTCCCCTCTATCACTCGCAAAGTACGAAGAGAGAGCGAGAGTGCGGCGTTTGTACGTGTGTGTGTGTGTGTGGGTATATGTGTTGTACGGTGCAATAAATTCTACTCGTAAATTATAATACAGTGGCGTAGGTCATGGACCGAGAACGATACGCACGCCACGTGCTTCCCCACGCGCGTTTGCTTGTATACATTCTGTCTCGCTCCGTTTCACAGCCCCTACCGCTCACGTCGGCGATTACTGAATGTGTTCACGTATTTACTCTTTGGTATTATTATTATTATTACTTCTCTCCGTTGCGGAATGATATGAGACACATGGATGCACTGGAGAGATTACCCGCCGTCGATCAAACGATCTCTTTATGTACGACGCAACAGTTTGCGCAATGTCGCAAAATATACATGCACGCATACGTACGCATATGTTGTATTATAATATGTAATCAAGTTTTGAGACATACCTTAGAATCATTCCGACGTAAATATGTAAATAACATATTTCTGTGCGACATCCGATATACCTTTATCTTCCGAGCTTATTTAAATTTCTCCAAATTCCCTCTATTCTTGCTTTGGTTGATAATCGTCGAGGGCGTAAGCGCACGGGGAGACTCCACCTGTACTTTCTGTAAAATAAATGGTGATGGACACACGGTATATTAAACTGTACAAATTTCTAAAAGACCGTCTATCAATATCTTTTTCTATATATTTATTGTTATATTTTTTCATATCTTTGTAATTATATCTTTTGTTAATTTTTGTCTATATATATCTTTTTATTTACAAGAAAAGTTCACTATTCGTCAAAAATATTGTATATTTTTCCCTCTCTTACAATAAGTAAATAAATTGATTTTTGATATTTGTCAATATTTTTTCAAGTATAATTAGAAATTTAATTGTGTGATATACATATGTATAGAATTTATCAAAAATAAAACAAATTAATTTTTCTAAAAGATCTATATATAATATAAAGCATTACGATGCTCGAGAATAAAGGCAAAAACATTTCTGCCTTTGTATGCTTTCGAATATTTTACTCTAATATAGAACAGTATAGATCTTTTATATTATAAGTGCATGTTTTATAAACATTAGCTTATATTCCCATAGTGATATTCAATTTTTGACATTAAATTTGTTTTATTCTTAATTTAATTGTTATTTTTATTGATTTATTCTTTAATTGTTATTTTTATTTATATATATATACTTTGAGAAATTCTATATCTAAAAATATATATATATATATATATGTTCTAGATACGTATACATGTATATGTATATCATTAAGGATTGCAATTCTTCTTTCAGCCGGAACGTTTATGCTCACCAACGTGGGTGCTGCATTTCCAGAAAGGCAATAGTTTTGAATGCGCGACGCTTTTAGTAAGCTTATTATTGGGACAGAGTTACAATGCATTCGTAGTAAGCGGATATGCATCGCGCGAACAAGCTCTCTGCGACATGACCAGAAGAACCTGCCCGTATTTGCCGGAGCGGAAATACACACCACCACCGGCCGACATGCCTAAAATTGCTAAGTATCAATTAAAGGCACCGCCGGATTTTAGAAGCCAATTTCTCTTAGAACTGGAAGATCGCGAGAGAAAAAAAAAAGATGCCGAATTACAACGACAGGAAGAAGAACGACAGAGAATGATCGCTGTATGCATGAACTATTTTATCTAATCAATTTGTTTTATGGGATAATATAAATTATTCTTAATTAATAATTATTGAATGGATTACCTGATAAGTATGCCGTTTTATTTGATACATAATGCGTAATTAAAATTTAAGGGGGAAAGTATATCTATTTTTATTGTATTATATAAGTATTGACATTTTATATTTCTTACTTGGATTTTATTGAATACGTTGACTCGATTGTATCATTTTAGGAGTTTGAGCGTCCACGGTCAGATAAATATTTCGGTCATAGGATACACGCGTGGGTGGTGATTTTGCCGGAAGATAAAGGCCCGAGAAATCGAGAAATCACCGAACCGATTTTCATCGAACCTTCCTCCGGAATGCCTTACAATCTCGCTGACGAGGAGACCAATTTGTTATATCTGGGAGTCGAAAGTATTTGGAACGATCAGAATTATTGGGTGAATATGCAACCGCGCGGAAAGGGCTGTGCGGAAATTAATTGGGACTTGAGTAAAGTTGAGCTCTGGGAGCACTTGCTGCCTGGCGAACCGCGTGTTGCGAGAAAAGACACGGACGAGATCGAGGAAGACGTTGGCGTCGAGCAAGATAAGCATTTGGACATGCCGGCTTCGTACGTGAATGAAATTCAAATTTATAGCTTAGGTACACAAATGTTTATTTTTTTAAATCCAGTCGAAATATATACTATAATTATTCATCAATTTTAAGTTTCGAAAATATCAAGAAATATAATGCCAATTGTTTTAAATTAATAATTTGAATAATTTTGTTTGCCAAATATATATTTCCACAAATATTTATATTGCTCTCACAGATTTTGAGACACGATATCCGCAAGGAAGTAAAACGATATTTTACAAGAAGGCAAAGGTGGAATTATACGCGCCGTACTTTCAAATGGACGGTTTAATACAACGAGTAACCGTTTACGAAGATTATGAATATATCACTCCTATTCAATGTTACGAGAAATATTTGAATAGAAGTGACTGCCTTACGGAATCTAGTAAAGATTTCAATACGGATACTGTCACGGATTTCTTCAAGAAAGGCCGATCAGATCATTGCAAAGGTGAAACAATTTCGAGTAAAATATTTATTATTATAAGCAAAATTCATATTGTTTTTTTTTGTATTAACGCTAAGAAATATTAATAGCGGATCGTTATCTCGCATCTGATACTGGCTCGATAGACAACGAAAGAGCGATAGATTTTTATGATGACGCGCATTTCGAGGGATTATCGCGCATGGAGATGGGCCCACTTTATTTGACTCAATATTACAGAAATCGTGAGGATTTCCTTTACTATAGGTGCAAAATTCTCCTTAAATAAATATCAAGACATATTATAAAAAATGTACATACATCTGTAAAAAAAAATCAAATCTCTTAATCTTTACTTATTTTTTTCCTATATTGTATGTTTTTACATGTAAAAATATGATATAAATATGTAACATTTATGTAATATTACATTTTTATATTATTTCAGGCACGTTCAATTTTCGACAGACAAAGATAATCCGGCGGATGGTATACATTTCCGACGTACTTCAGTAATATTGATTTGAAAAATCTTAAATTTATATTTAATTTATTACGCGATAAACAAAAAATTAACTCTTTTCATTTTGCAGAAAATCATTGAGAAATATCATCGAAACAAAGAAATTCCGGCTTGCGAGGATATAGCTATCCGCGAATTCGCGATGCTCGAGAATGAAATTCGCGTTAAATTTCATTACGATAAAGATCGGAGTTCCAGAGCTACTCGTACATTTATAAAACCGTCGATGGCAGATAGAGGGGAACGTTTGGTGTTTGATCCCACAATGTCCTACGGATACAATGTAAATTTTCTTTATAACAAAAATATTGATAAAAGAAAATTGCGATCTAATTTATGTATCTCGCAGCCAGATCCGACTGCACCGCCGGAAAAAAATCTCGATCTCTTTTATAATCTCGATAAGCATTTGAAAGATGAAGATCAATCTATAATCTGCGTCAAGGATACCGAAACCGAAATCATGGAATTCCTAAAGAGAAGAAGCGATGAAAATTTAAATCTGCAACTTTCGATTTCATTATTCGACAGAAATCAAACAGTCGAGACGATATCGACTGAGCCGAGAATAGTATTTATCAATTGTTTAATTACTTTATTAATTAAAAAAATTATAACGTGCCGTTTCTTTAGGATGCGGTAAAAGATCCAAGTCAACGAGATGATATCGCGCAAGAGATCGATCCATTGGGGCCATATTTGGCGCGAATAGGCAACCCGGCGTACATCAGCAAGGCAGAAGCGTATCTGATACGCGATGACTGTTTAAGTGACTTTAAGCAGTTATCTATCGACAAAGCGAATTATATTTTACGTATCATCGAGAAGCGCGCTGCGGAACTTGAAAAAATGCAAATCTTGTTAACACAGGTATGAAAATCTACTAAATTTTCATTGATATCACGTCATTAATATCATAATTATCTTGACTAATATTTATACATTTACAGTCAGTCGATTTATCGAAAGCGGAGGAGGATCAGATGCTAGCCAAGATAAATGAGATAAGCTTCAATTTACACGTACTAGAAACATATCTGAATTGGCATAGAGATCAAGTACCGCAGAGATACAAGATATTGATGGATCGTTTGCGGCAAAATCCGTATCTCCAAGCACTTCAGAAAAATTAAGAAAAAGATATTGAGAAATTATATGAATGAGTATATCAGTAAGTATACATATAAAGAATATTTCACTCGAATAATTAATCGAGATATTAATTGGATAAAAATTTCATTTTTCAGATATTCAAAAATCATACTCATTTCATATTATCAAGGAGAGTACACATTGGTATCATGAAATGTACAATATATTTATTGAAAAGACCACGAGCCCATTTGACCAATGCACCGACCTGAAGTAATATTGAAAAATAAATGTAAAATAATTTGTATAGAGGTTTCATTTTTGCGATTCATTACCTTCGTCATCAAAAGTGGCCAGCGTGAATTTACTAAGTTTATTTGTAAAGTTTCCAGTGGGGGAAACTAGCGGATGATCCAACTGATCGTTGCTACTGTCATTATTGACAAATTGACGACGATAATCCTCAGCGAAGCCAGAAATGAGAGTATCCATCATTGGCGCCTATAAAGTATCAAACTTTATATTTTCATTTCGTAAGAATAATTATTAGACATTCTCGAATAGTGTGACTTGTACCTGTTTCGAAAATACTTGCAGAATCTTGTAGACTCGTGCTCCGTTTTCTCGCACTGGAAATTGCAGAAACAAGCAAGGCAAGCAATCTGGATTATTCTCATCCGAAGGTTTCGCCATTTCCCAGCTCAGTTCTGAGTATTTTAGTCCTAATAGCAAGCTCTGTATAAATACATTTCAACATGTTATTATATATTATACATTTCATAAATATTCAGCTTAATATATTGCACTTACGCACTGCATATCGTCGACTATGTATACACCCGACGTATTAATCGCAACAAGGACCTGCATATCGCGATTGGTGATCCATGATGCGAGACCTCTGACAGGTCTCTCGATCTGCCCTTGGAAGAAGGCCGCACCATAACACGGTAAGTTCCAGCACAATTCGAGATATTTTCTGATTAATTTTTTGGGATTTGCGTTAGCACTACCATTGTGATTTGGTATTCTCTTGTACTGCTCCAGAAGATGTGCCTCGGGTGCTCCCTTGCCGCCCACCAGTCCTAATCCGAGTCCCAATCCCAACAGAAGACTGGGAAAAGCGTGATGATGCGGTAGAAATCGACCGCGGTGTCTGCGGAAAAATGCCAAGGTATGGGTCTGCACGTTATAGGGCCCAAGTTCAATCCGAGCCTGTAACGCTCCTAAAGTGGCATAACGCGCAGGACCGTCACATGCGTATCGTCCTAGAAATTAAATTTATGTCTTATTATAAATAGAGAAAACTATATAATTTTAATGAAAACTGTATAATTAAAATTTTTTAAAATAAACATTCTACGTATCTTTTATTTAATGTCATTTACCTTGTAAAACATTGTGTCTGGCTTCTGCATAGAGTAATTCAAGCACTTTAGTATCTTTTATTTGTTCCTCTTCTGTCCTGGACAGAAATATATTTCGACGAAAGAATAGTAAAGGTTCTTCATCATCAGAATCTTCTACATGAGAACTATATTTATTCACGAGATAACTCCACTTTGCAGCCAATTCTACAGGCTTATGTGTTGGACGTAATTGAACTTCCATCTGCGAAGAACACATCCATAATGCAAAAACTGGTGTAATAGTTGCTAGAGAAAATCTCAATAGACCCAATTCTGCTTCTGATTGAACTATCGTAAATATTTGTTGTGCTGTTGCATTTTGTTCAATTTCCATCGTCAGAAATACTCCTGTCATTAGATAAACAGCTATGCGTATCGTAGGTCTCCCTGTATTTGAATACTGTGGCTGATTTGTCATTGTTTTATTCACTGTAAATAAAAGGAAAGAAATGTTAGTATTATAAAATATCAACTCTCTCACTTAAATTTGGAGAAATTTATGAATACATACAAGTTGACGAATGTCCTTCTGGCTTGTAGTCATTTGTATAGCGACGTAGTGGTTGTCCTCTTTGAATTGTACAATCATTTTGTTGCTCCATTTCTTTTAGAATTTTTCTTTCTCTTTTTTAATTACTAATTAATTATACAATTTATTAAAATACATAGCAATCCAAAACGAATTAAAATGATATACATAAATATTGTACTGTTGTAATGATCAGTTCATGTACTCACATTGATAATATTACTTTTGACTTAGAATTTTACAATTTATGTTCATGATTTAGAGTTACATATTGTTCCTAATACATCCCTTGTAATATTATCATAAAATAATTGTTTCTGTTGCCAACTTATTATTATACTCTAAATACATCTCTTTCACATTATTAACCGCGATAATTTATTTATTAATATCATTATGTCACACACATTATGGAAATTTTTAGTTTGTTTTTTATTTCAGTTTCAAGGCGTGTTACTAAACTCTGCCGCACTGCCATCTGAACAGTGAAGCTGTAGCAATTTTATTGATTATTTGTATGTAGCCATATAAGCATATATATATATCTCAATATCGTTTGTTTTTATAATTAATATTTATGTAGAAAATAGAATTATTAATCATAGTCTTATTAAAGCCATAAAATACTTTATTAATAAGATCTATTATTTTTCACAATTCTTGTATGTCTACATTCGGTTTTATCACTACAGTGAAGTGATAGAATTTTTTGTTTATTATTAATAGTTGAAAGTAATTTTACCCACTTATCTCTTTGTGACGTCTATTATGTCATAAATTGTGGGTAAATTCTTTTATTTACAAGTTTTATACGAGTTAACTGAGCGAAATCAAATTCAGGACTAATAAACTTTTTTATCACAATGGAATATGATAGTTTCATTTCACACATATAAATCTCAAATCTAAATCTTTCTTTCATCGGGCTCCTCTATTCATTAGCAACTTAGCTACCACAGTTAACATTTATATTATTCTCATATAAGAAGAGTATAATATAAACTAAAAATAATTTATACAAGGACCATATGACATTCGTCAAAAAATTATTAACTCTTGTACTTTTTCTATTACCATGTAAAATTTTTAGATAGAAATTTTTTTAAATAAGTTTTTTGAATAAATCTAATTCTAATAAAAAGATGCGAAAGTGAGTAGCTAAATGACATTTATAAAATTAAAGAAATTGTTTTATTGAAGAAGTTAAACATATCGTTATATATAATCTTAGATCTTTTATATTAGATCCGCAACGTTCATCGGCATTTCGTCTATTTGTGTAGAGTAATACTGCTCGATATCTCGAAGAATCCTTATATCATCAGTTTTTACAAAGTTTATCGAAACACCTTTACGACCGAAACGTCCCGATCGACCTATTCTATGAATGTATAATTCGCGATTGTTAGGTAAATCGTAATTAATTACGAGTGACACCTGCTGAACATCGATACCTCTCGCCCAGACATCCGTTGTGATTAAGACACGACTGTACAAAAAAGAAAAAAATATTAATATAATATATAACTGCCTATACAAATATTGTCTTAAGATAATATACTTTTAAAGATTACAATCTTACCTCTGACCAGATCGGAATTCCTTCATTATATTGTCTCGTTCCTTTTGAGGCATGTCTCCGTGCATAGAGCATACAGTAAAGTTAGCTTCTCGCATTTTTTCTGTCAACCAATCTACTTTACGCTTGGTGTTACAAAAGATAACTGCTTGTGTTATCGTTAATGTATCATACAAGTCACAAAGTGTGTCAAATTTCCATTCTTCTCGTTCTACAGCGACAAAGAATTGTTTAATTCCTTCCAATGTCAACTCATCACTAGAAATGCAAAAAGTTAAAGTAAAATATATTCATATTTAGTAATATGAAGTAAAGATAAAAAATTATTTACCGTTTGACAAGAATGCGAATAGGATCTGTCATAAATTTACTGGTCATTTCTAGAATTTCATGTGGCAAAGTGGCTGAAACTAAAACCACTTGTGTTGCTGGTGGTAGATATCGGTATACATCGTAAATCTGCTCTTTGAATCCTTTGTTCAACATTTCATCAGATTCATCAAGCACTAACATTTTAATAGCCCTAGTTCTAAGTACCCGTCTTTTAATCATATCTGTTAAAAATTTATAAAATTTTTACACAAATATTATTACAATTCTGCCCTGTTATATATAACTGATAAAAATAAAATATGGTACCTACCAAACACTCTACCAGGAGTACCGGATACAACATGTTGTCCATAATCCAGCTTTCTGATATCTTCCCCAAGATTTGTGCCACCAATACAAGCATGACATTGCACATTCATAAAGTCTCCTAATGCAAGGATGACTTTCTGAATCTGAGTTGCAAGTTCTCGAGTCGGCGATAATACCAGAACTTGAGTTTCCCTTACTTGTGTGTCCAATGATTGCAATATTGCAATCGAAAAGGTAGCAGTTTTTCCAGTACCAGACTGTGCTTGTGCTATCACATCTCTGCCCTTCATAATAGGTTTAATGGATCGTTGTTGAATAGCAGACGGTTTCTCAAAACCTATAAAAATAGAAATGATACAATTACTTTATTTCTTATTTATAAATCATGCTTTACTGCGTGAAATTTGTTAATATTACAATAATAAAGTTAGAAAGAAGGATAACATACAAGAGGGAAATCAAATAAGTTCCGCAATATATTGGAACTGTGAACGATTAATGGAAAAGTGCTATAATTATCATTATCATAAAACAAAATGGACATAATCACTAATCATACACGTGTAAACGCGATAACTTATTTTTGTAAATCTTATTAAATCTAATCTCAAAATAAACCGTGAAAAGAGTTAGAGGTTAGAAATTGATGTAAGGTGGAGATTGAATAAGGAATATCATACCGTATGCGTAGATCCCGCGTAACAACTCGTCGCGGAGACCCATGTTGTCGAAGGTAGGAATAACTTCGACATCCTCGCTGGTTTCAAATTCAACGTTTGATAAATCTTCTGTTTGCGCCACACGACGTGATTTGTCCGCCATTTTACGAAAGTGTTTTCTTCTCTAACGAATACACTGATGATGACGCAGTTTCACCGGGCTGCAATACAAGAGTTTCACAAAAATTCCGCCTTCTCTTTGCTTTAATAAATTTTCGTCCTCACCTTTCAAACATGCAGTGATAAATGATAACAAATTAAAATGAAGTAATTCATTTGATGAAATTTCCATGTGCGTACCTGGCGTCACACAATTTTTTTTTTATATAAAACAAATTCTCTTATTGGATATCGAATGTTGTATGTCGAAAATTGGATGCAGTGTAAATCCTGCATAAGCCTGCATCAAACTATGCATTGAAGATTGAAATTTGATCACAAAAATTTGTTTCTTTTTCTTCTTATTAATCAAATTTAATTTTTAATCAATTTTTATTAATCAATTTAATTTTTAACTTCAATGTTTTACAAATTTTATCGAACGTTATTATAGGAATGTTAGAAATTCTTTATCAGATAACCAATCAGAACGTCCGATAAGTTCATGTAATTTCATGTAAACTTACCCTAGTTGGTCACGTGACCGCGGTCAGAGAAACACTGAAGTGCTTTGAAGCGTAGATTGGCCAATCAGATTAAAGAAATCTTTATTCCTTTTATCCTGATTGGTCAATCAAGCGTCTCAACGGAAGAGAAACGCGATGTTTGAACGATGAGGCAAAGGTGAAAAGTGTGGTAGGAATTCCTACCGATTTTGTTGTGTAAACTTTTTTCTCTATTTTGTAAAGTTATATATTAAAAATATATACATTTAAGTAGAGTGAATACTTATATTATCTACAAATTGAGAGCTTTATTTTTGTCTCATTCCTCGTTTTATATCGAGTAAGTGTATAAAAATTTTGATCGAGAATTACATTTGCTGAAATTGTTGGTTATATTTACGAAATATCTCTTGAGCAATAGATAAAGCATTCACGATCGAGCATTTCTTCACTGAATTTCCTTCTTTCTACTGTAAAACGTTTTACACGAAGAGTTTATTATGTATTCTGTTAAATGTAATCAAAATTATGTAAAATATAATCTTAATGATCAGAAAATTTTTATGTAAAGAATTATGAGATTATATCTGAGAGAAATTAAATAAATCGAAATTCTCTCTTGAAATTATTCATATTATCATTGACTACTGCTTATAACATTTTTTTTTGTGTTAATCTAAGAAAGAAGAAAACTAGATGTAAAAAAAATTAAAATTTAATTCAGTATTTAATTTATTAAATACTCATGAAATATGCTTCTGATAGAATGGAATCCAGGACTGAGTTTAAAATAAAATCACCGCCAACTGATGCAATTTCTGCGGTGGAATTTGGACCAAACTCTACACAGTTCCTATTAGTATCATCATGGGACAGTACAGTACGATTATACGATATCCATGCAAATACAATGAGGTTGAAATATAATCATGATTTACCAGTATTGGATGTTGCATTTCAGGTAAGTAAATATTATTTCTCTCAAAGATAGATTTTCTTTATCACAAGATTGCTTGCAGGATGCTGTCCATGCTTATAGTGGTGGATTAGGAAATACTTTAAAGATGTATGACATAAATAGTAATACAGGTATTGTTACATTCTTTTGATTTTGTTACTTATATAATGTTAGAATCCCCTAATGGTAACTTTGTATCATAGTTACACATCTGTCAACAGAGTCCAATATATCTTTTTGCAAGTGGATGTAATCCCATCACGAGTCTTTTAATTAGTTTTATATATTTATAATGACTCATTCAGATTTGAGTTTAAAACTGTCCATTACTAGGCAACAATTTTAATAGAGTTCTATACATTATTCCTTAGAATTATATACATATAATAAAAATACTTGTTTGTAGAATCAATAATGGGTACACATGATAAGCCAATCAGAAAAATAGAATATTGCGCGGCCGTAAACGCGATATTAACTGGTGGTTGGGATGCTGCGGTAAAATTATGGGATCCACGAACACCCACTTGCGTCGGTAGTTATTTGCAACCAGAAGTAGTTCTCGCTTTGTCTGTATGCGGTGACAAATTTGTCGTGGGAACAGCGAAACGAAAAGTTTGTATTTGGGATTTGCGAAACATGGCAGGCATGTTTCAAAGACGAGAAAGTAGTTTAAAATATCAAACGCGCTGCATCAAAGGTTTTCCCAATGAGCAGGTACACATTTACCTTTTATGCATATTCTGTATATTTTATTTAATTCTTACATTTTCATATATATATATGTATCAGACTTACCCTTTTTCATATTTTTCTATATTTAATATATTTAGGGATATGTATTGAGTAGCATAGAAGGTCGAGTTGCTGTCGAATATCTTGATACCATGCCAGAAGCTCAAAAGAAGAAATATGCATTTAAATGCCATAGAATAAAAGAAAATAACGTCGAGCACATTTATCCAGTGAACGCTATTAGCTTTCATTCTGCATATAATACATTCGCCACTGGTGGTTCGGATGGTTATGTGAACATCTGGGATGGTTTTAACAAGAAACGCCTGTGCCAATTCCATCGTTATAACGCTGGTGTAGCTGCACTTAGTTTCAGTCATGATGGTTCTGTGCTCGCGATAGGAGTCTCGTATTTAAACGAAGCTGAAATTCCCCCGGGCGGCAGTGATGAACGAGAAATTTATATAAGATATGTCAATGATCAGGAAACTAAACCAAAATAAAGACAGGTATTGCATAAGATAGGTGGAACTCGATTATAAAAAGACTATTAGACAGTGAATCTCCATGTATATTCTATGTATTTAAAACAACAAGAAGAATTTGAAATGGAGAAACACATTGTGTAACAAATTGTAAATAAATATTTGATTATTAATTTATATGCATTTTGCGTATGCAAAAATAATATGTTAAGATTTAAACCACTAGATTTGACAAAAAAAGATGTTTTAAAAGTATTTTTTTCTTTCAATAAACAAATGATTTAGTACCTATAAATTTTTATGGTATTATGATTTATAGTGTCTTATGACATTAATAGTTCTTTTTCGATATTCAATATGCAATATTTTGATACTTTACGTCTTTCTTTATCTTCATTATAAAAATTTTGAAATATCTATCTTAAATATTATCTTTCTTTAAAAATAATTTATATGTATTCATAAATATATATAATTACATACATATTATATTTTAACCATATATGTGTATATAACTAATAAAAATATACATACATGTTTATAAATATATCAAATATCTAATATAACTTATAATCTCTATTGTATGATAAGAAAGAATAAAATCTTTTGTACTTTTAATAAGATTATAAAAATATAGATGCAATTAGGTTAAAATGAATATAATGTGTGTGTATATTGTATAAAATTTATATATTTACTAAATGGCTTTGATTAACTAATACAACAATTGCAAATAAACTACAGCATTTTAAGGAATAAATGATTGATTTTTTCATAATGTACGTTTATAATTGACATTAATTCTGAAAACTTTCATTCAAAAATTGACCCCTATAAAAATGAAATACACATAATCAAAAAGATAGCAATTTGTTAATAAATATATTTCAGCTAAAAAGATAGAAAAAATAACTTTCCACATCGACCGTAAAAATTTTTCTCCTACCGAAAACAAAATGCAATTATTTCCCTCCTCTACTTTTTATTACAGCAATTTATAAATTTTTAACATAAAATAATGTACAGCACTCTCCCTCTTAAAAATATGTACAAGATATTTAAAAGTACTCAATTATGTAAGATATTTGGGTGCAAATGAAGCAAGTAGTCTCAGTCTATTCTTTAACCGAATTATAACAAGCTATTGTTAAAATTGTCTAATAATTAAATTGTGACATAATAACATCATATAATTACAATTATAGTGCTAAACTTTTTTTTACAATGTTTCAAGTTCTGAGTTTTATTGTCATGATAATAATTGCTGTTATTATTTATTAAAGAAATATTGATTACTCATTACCATATTGAAATGAATCAAAAGTAATTATACTGCACGTATAATAATTAAACCACATAATGAGTGTTTCAATTTATAATTGTACAATATATTTTGATATCTTACACGATCTTAAAAATTGTCTTAAAGTTTCTCGATTGAGTACTGAAATAGAGAAACTTAGAAAATAAAAAAAGTGCTATATTCGATACACGATAATTTTTAGAATGCAAAATATACTAACTTCTATTCATTTCTTTTAAATTTCATAAGACGATTAAGGCAAGTTAGAATCATATTTTCATATAGCCAAATCAACATAGTGTACATGTTATGATTTTGTGTACTACATGTACATATATACGCATTACATTTCTTTTCAATGATCTCTATATAACATTCGAAGTAACAATATATATACATAATATTTAACAATTTGTACTAGTGATGTTTTCCCTGCTGCTTTCGGCAGAACGCCTTCGCAAGATAACAAAGTAATTAGTCTCCTGTCCTATCATTATGATGCATCTATTACGTATATTCTTATCAACTATCGATATTTTTGTGCAAATTTTCTTTTCTTTTTCATCAAATTAATTGCAGGAGATTTATGCTTATTTATCATTAAAATAATATATGTTAAGTGATAAAATTATACAATTATTAAAAATTATAATTATTAATTCATAATTATATCCAATTAATTATCATACGAGGGTGGGGTGACAAGTTTCCTGATAAAAAAAAAACAGTTCTTTTGGATTTTTTTAAATTTTATTTTTCAACATAATCTCCACAAAGACTAATACATTTTTCATAACGGTGTTCTAATGCAGTGATACCAACTTTATAGTACTTTACGATTCATCGAGCTCCTCAAAATATCCATTTACAGATAGCGATGGCTAAAATCAATGAATTAAAGTTCGAATTGCTTTCCCAACTATCTTATTCGCCAGATTTAGCACCCAGCGATTATCATCTATTCCCTATCCTCAAAACATGGCTCGGTGGAAAAAAATTTAAGAGCAACGAGTAAGTCAACGCTGTAAATGGGTATTTTGAGAAGCTCGACGAATCATACTATAAAATTGTATCACTGCATTAGAGCACCGTTATGAAAAATGTATTAGTCTTTGTAGAGATATTATGTTGAAAAATAAAATTTAAAAAAATCCAAAAGAACTATTTTTTTTCTTTATCAGGAAACTTATCCACCCCACCCTCGTAATTATAACAATCATATATATATCATATATATATAATTATAATTAGTAATTAATAATTATTATTCTGTAATATTATAACGGCAGATTTCCAATATTTGTTTTATTAGTTTTATATCTTGCTATCTTCACAAATGACTTTTCTCAGCATATCTCGTATTGTATCATGTGTAGCGAAGCTAATTCCAACTGCAATGGGACCTTTAACCCAATTCATGCTTAAGCCTTTGTAAAAAGCCATTATTCCTTCCTCCCTACAAAATGCAAAATTTTTCCATACAAATGCATAAATCAACAATATAATTGTGCATATGGTAAGTATATTTATTACAGAAGATAGCAAATTATATTGTATTTCATATCAATACATATTATGAAAATGAAGTTTCTATACAACTATCTCATTTTTTCAACAAATTTTTAAAAGATATTAAATGTTTTGTTTTGGACGGCTTGTTCTGTATATATTTCTATTTTATATCTTGTATATGTTATTATAGAAGATAGCAAATTATTTCATATCAATACATATTATGAAAATGAAGTTTCTATACAACTATCTCATTTTTTCAACAAATTTTTAAAAGATATTAAATGTTTTGTTTTGGACGGCTTGTTCTGTATATATTTCTATTTTATATCTTGTATATGTTCCTATTGATAATTTAACTATTTGCGAAATCAGATATAGTTATTATTTTATTATATTATCTCTCTGATGCTATACTTACGTGTAAATCTTCACGATAGTCGATGTGATTGTATGATAATGTTGGCCCTTGATCGCCGATGTCTGCATTCTCCGCCGCACAATGTCCAGTGGGTAGCTGCTTGTCTGACCGACCATTCCAGCGATGCCGCCGCAAATGAGCGAGGTTGAGAATCCCGGAATAGTCACCGTGTACACTGTTCATCGACACGTAGCCATCATCGAACATGAAGCACGCAGCACTTCGAAATACGCCGCCGGTCGGGCTTGTCTCGCGTTGCTATTAAAGTAAGTACCGTCCCAATATCAGGGGAAACAGGGTGCCCCCCGACGTGCCCCATCGGTACCCTGCTTTACGATCATATACAACAGCCACTCTCATTCGTATAACCCACGACTTTCTTTTTTCGCATGTATGTATACATGTATGTGTATATGTGATGAGTACAAGCACCGCCACCGCCAGCGGGCGCCAAAACAACTTATCTGTGTGAACAAATCAGGACTCACCGGTCAATAAGTTTCTCAACATGTCGTATGTGAAGAAACTGCACCCGGCGTACGGGATAGCACCGAGGAGCGTAGCGGTGAAGCCACGATAATATGCGAGAATTCCCTCCTCTTTGTAGATTCGCCAAAACGCCTGTCGTAGAGTTCTATACTCGGCCTTTAGAGTCACCGCCATCCTCGCCCGCATCAGATCCAATGGATAAGTCATTGTTTGCGACGTGACGCCAGCAAGAGCGCCAGCCAGAAAACTCGCCCATGGCTTTTGCCTGTAAACGATTCACAATACATAAGGATAAAGTCTTCGTCAAATATCTTTACTTGATTAATATGATTTGTTTGATAAATACTATATATATATATATATATATATATATATCCTATATAAGATATTTTACTCGATACCTCTCTGCACCATGCACTCTCAGAATTCTCTTCCACTGTTCGTGCGCCGTAAATTGCACTGCAGAATATGGCACGATTCTAATCATAGTAGCACTATTTCCACGCCATAAGCTCAGAAGGCCTTCAGTACGCAGTGCTTTCCTCAAGAAATCAACCGCTGCTCTGGCCGAATAGGGTTGCTTCGAGATTTGAAAATTGATCTTCGTGCGGTCTAACGGTGCTATCGTAGTCTTCGCCAGAGCACCAGCTACTGCGCCAGCTACTAAACTCGTCCAAACTCTTTGAGTATTCGAAATTTCTTTTCCACTGCACTGTTTTTGCTTGTTCTATAACATAAAATTATTCATGTTAATATGTAAAGATTATATTAAATATATGAATGTATAAAATGCTGGGATATTATTTTAGTGTGCAAGTAATTTTAAAATTTTTTTATGATAAGTGGGTGATCGTGAATACTTGCGTTATTGATGGACCTGATACAATATTATACAATGTTCAAAAAAGATCGGAATCCTGTTTCGAAAATTCATATTTTTCGAAATATTAAAAGATTCTTATCTTTTTCGAATATCCTGTATAATTTGCATAATATGTAACAATATATGATTAGATATAATTATTTATTTATATTACAAGGGATATATATACTCAAACCTCGTGAAAAAATTTCCTGATCTTCCAGATATTTTTATTCAAAATTATAATATTTTAAGGATTTTTGACTGCAATTTTTTAAAATAACTTTTTCATTATATATATTTTACATATTTTTTAATGCTTTTTATTCATACGAGGGAAAAACAAAAAAACCTTTTAAATTTCAAGTGCTTGCAAGATTTGCAAATATACTGAAAAAAAATTAATCTCTCTTTGTAAGATATAATATATCATAATATGTCTTTATTTTTTATTACTAAAAATTACAATAAAATTATATAATCTAATTTAAATATATAAGCAGATATATTTTAAACATAATTCACAACTTAACTTATTGCTGACTATTTATAAAAAAATAAAATCATATCAGAGAATTTTTTTTTAAATTCCCTAAATTTTTATAAAACTCTATGAGAATTTTTTAATTTCTTTATATACAAAAATTTCTAAGAATTCCAAATTTTTCATATTCAGAGAGCAGATACTTGCATATATAACAAATACAATTTTGATGTTTCCTTACCGTGATATCCACATCTTGCCTCTCCATTGGAACCGATGTGACAGGCGATGTAGACGAGGGGTGTTTTCCAGCGATCGGCAGCACGGCCACTTGAATACAGCGCTCGAGAACCGCTTGACCACGAGGATCGGCAGGCCGGGTTGCATGCCCGCTCATCTCTGACGCACTTTGCTGCTCCGTTACCGATGGCCTCTCATGTAGATTGTCGTCTCACTTTTCCTATTATTGACTAGGACAAAAATGAGCACTGTGAACGTTTATCGTTCGTTTTATGAAACTCCAAATGGAAAAGATAACGAGACATTTGTTTGAGATTTTTTTCTAATTCCTGAATTTTTATAATATCCTAGAATCTCAGCAATTCCAAATTAAAGAAATTAAATATTATAACTTTTTTTTATTCTTAATTCTCATCGATTTTCTTCTCTTACATTTCTCTATCAAGCATCAATCTAAAACTGATAATTTTCGTTCATAAACTTACAATATCATCTATATCATGGTATCTATGATACAATATCTATGCTACAATAATTTATTGTTATGAAATAAGTAAAGTATATAATGTTTGATAAGGAGTAGAATTTACAGTAAAAACAGAATGACTAAGCTATTATATAAAAGATAAAAGATAAAAATATGAATCAAAATAAGAAACAAATGAAGAGTGTTTGGTGTTATCATTTATTGATACAGATATAGATAGACGTTGACGCCAATGAGTTCAAAGTATATGTCGTAATTGTAATAGATTTGTGATCTAAACGCAAAAGCTAAAATTTTAATATAACGATAACGTAATTACTTAAACGTAATTACTTAAATCCATATACGATGCATTCTTATCTGAAAATATTTCCGAAGTAATAATGAAAGAATTTTTCCTGAGTTTAAGATGTTTTTGATAAACGTGTCATTTTTCTCGAGTTATTATTATGTTGATTGCTGAGTTTAAAATGATAAAAATTATGTGTAAGTGATTTTTCTTACATGTTGTACAGTCAAGTACAATATATAATATAATTAAAAAGATATCACGATTATTTTTTATTTTTTTTTCTAGAATTTTTAATATGCCAAATTTATAATAGAAATCTAATATTATTTTGTTTGTATTTTTCTGAAAATAGATGTCAATATATATAAACGATTGTAATAATGTTTCCTCATTTTTGAGAAATTCTTTCGTCTTTTTGAATAAACTTTTTATAATTTCTTCAATGGCCCCAAGCTCTATTCCAATCTTAAGTACACGTCTTTGTTGCATGTCATGATACTTGTCACGTATTTAAAAGATACAATAAATAATATATAATATCGTACTATAAAGGATGACTGTTTATCTGACAAATGTCACGCGAGAGACTATCATGTACTAATCTTTAAACAGGATGTCAGTTACATGCACTTGTTCTTTGATAAAATACTACATTTGATAAAGAAAATATAAATTATTGCAAAAATGATTTGCGTAAATATTCGTGACATTTTTCCGAATTGTTCAAAGTTCAAAAAGATTAGAACTGTACGACTGCAAATCTACATGTAACATTTATCTGATAAGTGAATCAATTCATTGGAGTATTTTTAGAAATTTATGATGTTAACATCATCCTCTTACTCTCTTGTAATCCGAAAAGAATCTATCTCGGATCCAAATATATCTTCAACATTGAACGCATGTCTATGAAAATAGGATTCAATTTGAAAAGTTCTCGATCTCAATCTACTAAAACGTAACACCATCGAAAATAATCGTAAATTTTACGTAACGTTATATCGATCTATATAACAATTTGCGAACGATAGGAGAAAAACATGCGACGAGAGATAAGCAGATTATATAATTACGTTAACACGTGAAAAACAAGTTATTATATGTAAATGCATGCAAGATCACGTGCAATGCTGTCATATATTGACTGATGAATCTTCTTGATTTATGCGTTCAATTTTATATTTTCTACGCGTTCGATTTTTGAATATTTTTGTACTTACACTGCAAATCCAAAATTTATATTTGATCAGTGATACAAGAAGAGAGTTTAGTTTTATTATTTTATATACTCTTATTTTTTTTTTATATACTCTATTAACATGACTTAATAATTATTGATAAATTTACATTATCAACTCGAATAAATTAACATTATCAACTCGAATAAATTAACATTATCAATTCGAAATGTAACGAATACAGTCTACGTTTCATTTAAAAAGTGATTGGGCCAACCAAAATGCTAAAAATAACTTCATCGAAAGAATGATAAAGGTCAATGTCGCGCCCCTCCCTCCTACTCCTCCTACGATAACTCAGTTTACTTTAATTCTATTCTTCTTTTTTCAATCTACGTTACGTGTTTTCGATAAAACTTTTAAATAAAAATTAATTTATATCGACTTAAAAAGAAATCACTTAATATCATAAGAAGAAACACGAGTGATCGAATGACGTATTATTGCCAATACCCAAGGAATGTTTCTTATTTCAGACGTCCTTTGGACTTTGTGCGTCGACGTGTAAAGTGACGATGTACAATAATATCCCGCGGGTATGTGTACTTTACGCAACTGAATGCTACATCGCAGACGTGTATTCGTTCTCACGTCGACACGTCATGATCGATTCATCTGCGCGGACAGAAAATATGGAAAATATCTCTCGTGTTTCTTCCATTCCAAGAGCTGTCGCTTCACGACACGATAATTAACGAACTCGGAGGATAATTAATGAAAGCGGAGAAAAACAATCGGCCATTATTTGCATTCTTTCGCATCAATCGGTGTTATTTTGCGAGAGTTATAATAAAAAGCAAACCAACCTCGTCTGTGAGTGATAACGCTGTTCCGAAACAAATCACCTTACATGCCCGACCATGTCCGCGACAGGGTGCAAACTGCGGGCTCGAAACTCGAAACTCCCATGATTCAGTGTTGGCACGTGAATACTTCGCGCATGCGCGCATGCGGTAGTGGAGTCCGTCAAAGGCGGCTCCGGAAACTTGGCGCCTCCAATGTGTTTCCAAATTCTTTTTTTTTTTAATCATTTGTAATTCGTTTGTAGACAATTGTAAGATTATTTAAATCTTTCTGATCAGCTTTTCGTTGTAAAATTCTGCAGAAAGTCAATCGATGCAGAATAGTTTCTGAAATCACGAATATAATAATTAAAATGTTTGTAAGATCGTCGTTTTTTAAATAAAAGTCAAAAATCATATTTAGTAATTTCTGAAGAAATTTCTCCAGAAATTACCAAATATAGTTTTTTACTTAGGGTGGATTTTTACGAACATAACATAGTTTACGTTCACTTCTCAGATGGCGCATCAGATCACAATACGCCTAAAGTCATTAGATTAACAAAGTACCGCAATTTTGATCTCAATAAGATGGAGCAAAAATGGCCTAAAAGCTCGCCTAAAAGCAGACTATGACAAAAAAGAGTGAAAACTATGAACAACTTTGTTGTTTGTTTTATAGATTTTAAAAATGGCTTGTCGTATGCTACATATTTAGAGTTGTAAATAATTTGATAAAAAATGTTCAATCTGTAAACAATGGTAACGCAAATGAAATATATTATTGTCTCTAAATCATTATATGTAATTAACATATAATGTGTATTTAAAATTAATTTATCAATTTAACTCTAATAAAATTATGAAATTTTTTTCAGGTATATTATTGTTTAATTTATTGCTTGTCAGTCATTCACATTTATTAAAAATAGTCACTTTATTAAATAATGTGAGAAACTCTATATTTTTTGCGAATAGTAAGTAGAACTTTTATGGGTATAGCATTTTGATAATAGTTTATATTTACAGTAGAAAATAATTTGTATTTCACTGTGCTTTTGTTCTATAGGACCTGAAGATGAATTATGAAAGGGTGTGACAAGTATCAGTAATGCAGGAAGACGCAGAGGTAGAGCAAGAAGAGTAGTGAAAAGAGAGAGCTCCTAAATAAGGAGCAAATTATTGGCATGGGAAAAATTCCGATACAATTTCCTGGTCTAAACACTCCTGTGTTTAGAGGAAAAGAATTAATTCAACAGCAAAAACTGCTTGTAAATCTTGAAAGAAAGCAAAAACTTATGGAATTACCACAAAGTTAGACCAGACCAATGCAAATAAAATTATCGCCATTGGAATGTGGTTGGACGAGTGTTACAATGGATGGCAGAAGCATTGAATCAGATCTTATTGGAAAAGGTTAATATTTATGCTATTATTGGATTATAATGGTTAAATCACACACATACAAAAATCATGTGATACGATGTCTATTTTCAATTTTTTTTTTGATGTTTCAGTTCTAAATATTAGAATCTTATATAATTAATATCTTTGTTTTCTGCAGATACATTTGAAAGTTTTGAAACCTGGATTTTGGAAAACAAAATGATAACTTGTATGACCGGTAATTTAGCACGATCTATTTTTTATTCTATCGATGTTTTCATAGTGATGCACCTTGAGCACTTTGCTTCATATGTTTGCAATAAAAATATATTAAAGCAAATTATTTTGCAAATTTATTATTTATTCTACTTTTTATTTAGAAAGACTAAGATTAAAAAAGACATATGCATTTTTTTCAGATATTTCTATTGAAAAAAACGCATCAGATAAAACTTTCCTGTATATTTTAAATGTGCCAAAAGATTTGCTCTTTATTCCACTTACTGCAATAATACTCATAATGTACACTAAAAATGACAGATCTATATTAAAAATGATAGATCTATATTTAGTAGTTGGAAAGAAAGAGAGAAGAAATGAAAAGTGCATCTAGAGAATTTAAAAGAATAAAAATCTAAAAATAATAATACATAAAAATTAATATTATGTATTTTTTTCATGAGGAATGTAGGGCGCACATTTATGCATTTATTTATTTAGATGAGATTTACTTTAGAGCACATTCAGTATTCAACTTTAATTTTATTTTCTCTTTCTTATGATATATAAGTATAACATAATTACCTGCAAATGCTATCATTTTTGTGTGCTTACAGTGATACAGAAGCAACATTACAAGTACTATATTTACAGATAACATCTGTATAATAAAAAAAGCACCAAAAATCTAATGATGAAAAAAGGATAAATATTGTAGACCAGCATAAGTATCAACCAATTATTCCACCACTCTGTTTCATTAGAGTTGCAATTTTCTTTTATATCATAAATATTATAAATAAGATAAAGATTTCTATACATTTCAAATAAATTTATATATTTTATGTATGTAATACTGCGCACACATATTAAAAGGTGATAATATCGCAGTTATAATAAGATACAATCCTGGCAATGTAGTGATTTTTGGATCCTACTTAAAATAATTTAATTTGATTTATTTTTTAGAAATGCGCACAATACTTGAGAACAAATTATTTTTGTGCCATGTATTACCTGTGTAAAATTCTACACACAGTATCATATTGTCTGCGATATATGAAAAGCTTCATCGATGAAATATGATTGAGATATAAGAAAAGTAATATAGTACTTGTAATGAATAACGTTAATGTGGAATACATAAATATTTTATATTTTAATTTCATATAATCAAGATGAGATAAGACACTCATGATTACTTTAAAAATGTGTCCACAAATATCATGTAACTTCAATAGCTACACATTCGTCAAATTAATCCTATTACGTTAAATGAATCACAGCAGCTTGTTTTAATTTAATCTAACCTAACCAATTATATTATATGCTCCTCATTAAAATGTGTAAAACTGTACGTCGCACATTTAATACGATTAATATACTACGTAATAAAATATAATACACTAATGAAATAATTAAATATTATTTTTGAAAGCATGATATAATCCAGGCAACATACGCTTGTGTTTACATTCGATATCCAAAGACACTGAGAGGTTAGGTTAGGTTAGGTTATATCAAACAAATTTATCGTTTAACAGTTGGCAGCCCTACGAGATAGACTGTGCAGCACTGCGCGTATATAAAATAAATTTGAAATCGCTTCTAGCATAACCATCTTCACGCGATCGACTTTATTTGAATTGCACCGAATCGAATTATGATGCGGCGCCGATTTGTCCGAATGTAATTCGGGACATCGCGATGCTGTATAAGCGTCGAATGAGCACGAATTATCACGCAAATATGATAAATCAAATCTACTCACCGGCTATTCCACAGGCCGCTCCTCCTCGGGACAGATCGCTCGCCTCGGGACGTCCCATTCCGATCTTGATGCACACAAATTCACACGATATCATCAACGCGAACGCGCGACACTTTATTCGGCACTCCCGATACTCGCTCGCATCCGATAATCATCATCAAGGGCGCGAATAACGCGACGCAACTTCGCTTCATCTTCGCGATGACGCCATCACTGAATATCGTCAAAAATCGCTGTCGCGCGTTTCCATCGACACACTATAAAAGTCGCGCGATCATCCTTCGACACTCTCGACGCTCGTTCACTCGCGATATTCGTTTAAAAACGGTTAAAAGATGCGAAAAATGCGGATGTACGACGATCCGTGTAACTGCGTATGACTCCGATTCACGTATGACGCGTATGACGTCGCAATGACGCGTATGACGTAGCAGTCACGTGCCAACATGGCGGCCGAACCATTGCGCATTCGTTTCTGCGCATGGCCATTCCTGTGTTCAACGTTCGCCCAACTTTGATTTCTGAATATTGTCTACGGCTTTAATTAATAGCACATAAATATATAAAGATGGAATCAATTAATCATATTGGTCATATATGTAGACTTGCCCGAAGAAATAGAGAAAAAATTGAGAGATATTTTTAATTTCTTTTTTTTTTAATAAAAGATGGAAATGTCTATTCATAAGTTCGTTCTTTTTTTCCTCTTTCGCGCAATTTCGATTCAATATATAACGTAGAAAATTCATAATATATTATGCTAATGATATGAATTACGAATGATTCGATTGTTTTATCGCGCTTTTCCAAAGTCAAATCTTATAATATTTAGTTTTGCATTTTAAAAGACTGAGAGCGAACTAAATAAATAAATAAATAAATAAATGATGTTGAGAAAAAGAAAAAGAAGACTCATAAATAAATAAATATATAAATATATAAAGATTGATATTAATATATACATATATATCATACGAACTTGTACGATCTCAAAATCTTTATCTTTTATTCCGTTACTCGAATACTTGTACGTTAACAGATTTAGGTTACACACATTGTATAAAGCTTCGATATTTTGCAATCTTACCTCGCCTTAATTTGGAGAAGCACGTGCATTCCTTTCGATAAATGTCCGCACAAAAATATATCACGCTTCAAATAAATAAAAGTCACTCGATATTGTGCACGATTCTAATCGTACGAAATATATTCGACGATTTTTTTTGGATCATTGTATTATCGGAACGTGCGATCAGGATGATTCGAAAACGATGCATGTACAGAATTTGAAGAGATATCCAATGCACGACAAATTATACTTGCGTTGATTAGTATTCATCAACACCGAACTGTTAATCGCGAATACGTGTACAACACTTTCACACATTTTTTTCGCAAAGAACGATATACGAAATGCAATATTTCGCGCCTCGCGTTTCACACAATGCGGCTATCTTTTTTTGCTTTGCTTTTTTGTTTAGTATCGCCATCTGCATTCACGTTAAACGCCAGAATTACGTAGTCAAGATATTTCGATTGTCGGTAAAGTCATCATTTTGTGCATGTCGGTAAATTGTTAGAATCACGTCGCGCAAGCATGATTTTTTTATTTGTAGTATGATAAAATATGTAATTAAAAATTCATGTAAGAAACGTATTTTTAATCAAATTACATATACTTATTCCGTTACTCTAATACTTGTACGTTAACAGATTTAGGTTACACACATTGCATAAAGCTTCGATATTTTGCAATCTTACCTCGCCTCAATTTGGAGAAGCACGTGCATTCCTTTCGATAAATATATATGTATATACATAAATGTTTCGTGTCACAATAAATCTTATAAAATCATTGATCTTTAATAGTATCTCGT